CCAGCATTATGCGACAACGGAATAGACCAGGTCTGTGAAAAGGTATCTCTCACTTGTGGGGTACATAAACACCAACTGTGTGATGGCATTGAGGATTGCCCTAATGGGGCTGACGAGAAATTGGTTATCTGTTTATCCATGTCGGAGAAGGTATGTAACAGAGCCTATAAGCACGAGCAGGCACTGGAAATACCCTTGAAATGGGTGAGAGATGGTGTGGAGGATTGTTTAGACGGAATGGATGAGGAGGATGGGTGGCAAACTTGTGGTTTTGGTGTGACTAAACGATATGTAGTTTCAGTCGATGAACTGTGCAAGGAGGTTTTTCTTTGTAAACATGATCAGGCAGCTTTCATCGAGTTCAGAGATCTTTGTGACGGAATTGATACCTGTGGTCACGAAAGGAGAATGTGTGAGATATCGCATATGGTCAGTCAAACATTTGACAAAGCAATGACTGTTAAAAAATCAGCTGAATCAGTGACAATATTACTGTATTGTTTGCCTGGTCTTGAGAGTCTGCAGGAACTAGCAAACCAATGTGTTAGCATTGAAGTCAATCTTTCGGGGCTTGACGTCTTCGGAGTACAAACCTTTTCGTCAGTTGTCCGCCCTAATACAATTGTTAACTGTGACTATACCTTTGGAGAAATTTACCTAATATTGAGTTGCGCAGGGTTTTGCGAAGACTCGATTTGCCCTTTGAAAAACAAAATACAATACAATTCTTGCCCTCAACAATATCTCAAAAGAATTTACACAGTTGCTGACAACAATTTTCTTTCATTCGTAACCAAATCAGGAAATGAGTATAAAAATGACTTTTTCCGTTGTGACAATAACGTTTGCTTGAACTATGATAAAGTTTGCAATGTGGTAGATGATTGTGGAGATGGTTCTGACGAACAACACTGTACCAATGTGTTTATGTGTAAATCTAAAGAGCAGCTGATCCCAATAACCGAAAAGTGCGATGGTGAGATTGACTGTCTTGACTTCTCGGACGAATGTAACTATGATTGTGGCAGAGAAATCATACAGAGCCCATTCCTGAAGCTCTTATGTTGGTGTCTGGCCCTTTTTGCAATTGCTCTGAATATGATTTCGGTTTACCGAACTTCGACAGACTTTAATAAAGAAATGTCAAAAGCGGCTCTTAACAATAAGATGCTGATACTTCTCATTAATGTGGGAGACCTGTTGATTGGAGCGTATCTACTTCATATTGCAGTTATGGACACGATAATCTATGGGAGTAGCTACTGCTTTGAACAACTGAATTGGCTATCAATTGTTCATTGTAACATAATTGGTGTCATCAGCACAATTGGTTACGAAATGTCCCTATTATCCATGACAACTCTTGGCATAACCAGGCTGATGGAAATAAAAAATGGGACACGGATCAGTAGTGAAGTCTCAAGGTCGGCTATTCGGAACATTTGTTTAATAACAACGGTTATCGTTCTGATGTCTATTGCTATAGCCGTAGTCCCTTTGGTGCCTCAATTTGAAGACTTCTTTGTCAATGGCATGACCTATGACCCTTCAGTAAAACTTTTTATCGGAGCTCCTGGGAAAAAAATCCATCATGATCTGCTACAGGAGTACTATGGAAAAATAAAGGAGAAAAATCTTAAATGGAAATCGATTAATGATCTAGTTGATGGCATGTTTTCCAATTATTATGGAGTAGATGTACTTGGTCGAAAGAGGCTGAAATTCTACGGCAATGAAGGGGTTTGTCTTTTCAAATTCTTTGTTAAAAAAGACGATCCCCAAAGAATTTATGCGTGGGTTGTCATTTCAATGAACATGATTTGCTTTGCAATAATCTCAGTATGTTACATCTTCATTAATATCTGGGCACGTGCCACTTCCAAAGTGCTCACTCAGGAGAAAGCAGGACATAAGATCAGGAAAAGAAACAGAAGATTACAGCGGAAAATATCACTCATCATTGGGACAGACTTCATTTGCTGGCTACCGGTTACCATAGCTTCTGGTCTACATTCGGCGGCCGTTATAGACGCCACTAGCTACTATGCCCTTATCTCTATAGTCTTCCTTCCAATCAACTCTGTCATCAACCCTGTACTTTATAATGATTTCTTTTCCGTGCTTTTGGAGAGATTTTATGAAAAAGTGGACGGAATTTGTTTCCAAAAAAGAACCGAAGAACCATCAGTACTATTGAATAAGATTGTGAAGGTCAAATAATAGAGATGCATGAAACTATTAAGACCTATCATGAAATACCACTCAATAAAAACTATACAATTTTTTGATTATGCAGATCGGTTATAAAACGTTCATTCTACTATTTTGTGATTTTGACTGACAGTCTGATTTTCTTCCCTCATTGACAAAGCTTTAAAGCGTTGAGACTTGAGGGTGAAAAACTTCGCCTTTCCTGGCAATAGCTGTTTAAAAAATGAAAAGCCGTATTTTCTTTCTTTTCTGACTGGATTCCTAACCACTTTTTAAATTTATGCCACTGGGTATCTATAATCAAATTTCTGTGCAATTCTAAGACGAATTGCATGTGTTATTAAAGGGTTGCGTGTGGGCAGTTACTTCTGGGCCACCATGTAGTAATAAGTATGTCATGTATAATTCTAAGTTTATTAGTTGAAGACGGCTATTGTGAACTGACGATCTTTAATGAATCGTTTCACTTCTCTTAGCAATTTTCGGTAACACGACATCTGTCCGACGACCGACAGCGACATCTGTCCGACAGCACTATTTTCTTGTGTTTGAAGTGATATCTCAAATTTGGGACATAGAAATCCACCTAAGGCTAAAGGGGGGCCCTAAAAATGATCCAAATAATGATTACGTAATATCTGTAAATATATAACATTTTAGTATTATATGTGTTTCGGAGTCCCTAATTTTGTTTGCACTCGGTCACTTGTCAAGGCATGTATAGTAAGGTCATTCGGCGAATTTTCTTTGAAATAAAATGATGCATTTGTGTAAAAATTGAATTTTAATTGATTTAAAAAAAAAATGTATCGCGATGGAAATATTTTAAGCGGGTAATGTCCTGTCCAGTGTCCAAACCCAGGCTAATGAAAAGCATTATTAAATTAACACTTACAAATCCGGTCATAAGCAGAGTATTTACATAACCTAGTAGACTGGGAGCAGCGGGAGCTATTATGTCTTATTACACTTTAACTAAACACTACTACTACTACCACTTTAACTAAACACTACTATTACTACCACTTTAACTAAACACTACTACTTATACTACCACTTTAACTAAACACTACTATTACTACCACTTTAACTAAACACTACTACTACTACCACTTTAACTAAACACTACTACTACTACCACTTTAACTAAACACTACTACTACTACCACTTTAACTAAACACTACTACTTATACTACCACTTTAACTAAACACTACTATTACTACCACTTTAACTAAACACTACTACTACTACCACTTTAACTAAACACTACTACTACTACCACTTTAACTAAACACTACTACTACTACCACTTTAACTAAACACTACTACTACTACCACTTTAACTAAACACTACTACTACTACCACTTTAACTAAACACTACTACTTATACTACCACTTCAACTAAACAATGCTCTCCAATTTCCAGTGCTGTGAAGGAGTCTCTAAATCTCCTTATATGGGCATCACGTGTGCTGTGAACGAGGATTCAACTCATTTACTTCTCAGTGCTCCCTCATGGTTCAAACACTCACAGAGGGGGGGGGGGGGGGGGGGGGCCAGCTTCTATTCTTTAACATACCTGAATAACACAAAGGAAGACATTATGAAACCATTCTTTTGTCCAAACAAACTTGCTACTCTCTAATCTTCTCACAACACACCATGAACCACTATTCAACCGATTACCCGGGGTAAGGTAATGGTATTGTTATTGAAATGAGTGTTTACTTAACCGTGTATTAACATCCTCCCCTCTGTGCTATTACTGTGAGCCTTCCTGGACCGGTATATTGTGCTGTATAGGTGTAAATATTTCACTGTGCAGTTAGGACAGTATAGTACTGTTATTTCACTGTGCAGTTAGGTCAGTTTAGTACTGTTATTTCACTGTGCAGTTAGGTCAGTTTAGTACTGTTATTTCACTGTGTGTTCGATACAATGGCGTAACGTTGTATGTTGATTGTGTCCCCCCCCCCCGGACACATCGACCATTGCATTTCTTGATAGTTTCGTACTTTGAGTTTATGAAGCTAATTATTAATTAATTGATCATGATTAATTGTTCGGTGAGCTAAGATCAACTAGTCAAAATTAACAATTACGAGCATATAATTTCAGTGCGTTTAATTGATGAAATTTGCTGTAACTGTAAGTAAGGAGATGTAGAGACACGTGATGCCCGTATAAGCTGTTGCTAGCAGAGTAAACGCGGATATGATTTCTATGTTAATGTAGAAATCAGAAACAATCTTTTTGTTCCCATTGCTATTTGATGCGTTTAATTCAGTTTTATACTATCTATTTAAACATTTGCTTACAATTTAGTTTGCTGTTATTGAGAATCCGTAGTTTGGTGGTATGCACTAAATACTTAAATAACGGTTACCGCCTCGCAGGTGGCATGAAGCATAGGGAGACTGTTCCCCTAATCCTCTAATTTGAACTATAATAGTGTTCTTTTTGTGCATAATCTGATGAACATGTGGTGGATGATGTCTCCTTATATGGGCATCACGTGGTGGATGATGTTGTTGTACGCTTTCTACTTACGTAAAGTTAAATAAGGAATTAAAGTTGCGAGGGTCCGTGTTCAATCTTGCTTAAATCACAAATTTGTATTTGCTTTCTGTCCAGCCAAATTATTATCCGCAAAATAATGGCATCATGGTCTTTATCCACCACAGTCCAGTGGTTTAAAATGAATCTCAAGCATATTTCATACCCTACACTTCAAATTTCAAAGTTCGAGCATTTTCATTGTGTTTGAATAGTTTAACCCCAGCAGTGAAAATGAAATTCGAGGACGGCAAGAAAGATGTATACGAGGAGGTTTTCAACTCCTTCGATGTTGATCATAATGGTTACCTCAGCGTGCGAGAATTGGGTAATGATTATCACCTAATTCATTTCAGTGATTATTTGATTGATTTACAGATTGATTGATTATTATACTGATCAGGGTTTAGCATTGCACAAATTTAACTTATCCAAAATCTCAATTATTTAATAATAACGGATGTTTCCCGGAAATACCCCGCTTGTCTAGCCTATAAACGGTAACAATACCTCTAAAATTTCACTAATTACAGCCTGATGTCGTACAGTTAATTCCCCATTACATTTAATCTTCCATTACCTGTATAACATGTCTGGTAATTACAGGAGATCTCCTTATATGGGCATCACGTGGCCTATACTACCAGGAGATCTCCTTATATGGGCATCACGTGGCCTATACTACCAGGAGATCTCCTTATATGGGCATCACGTGGCCTATACTACCAGGAGATCCATCCACCATCCCTTAAATCTTTGTATCTTCATACAAAGTTACAACAAAGTCTTCGTGTTATGTATCCTGGGTTTGGACAGGATATTGCCCGCTTAAAATTCTTCCATCGCGTTACATATTACTCAATAAATTTATTTAATTGTAGTCGTGAAAATAGTTTAAAACCTAATTTTTAAGTGTATAATGGCATCAGGGTCTTTGTCCATCTCCTTATATGGGCATCACGTGGCCTCTAATATAACTTCTATTTCAGGGAAGTGTATGAAGGCACTAGGAGACAAGTACACCGCTAAAGATATTAAGTTTTTAATACAATGCGCTGATAAGGATGAAAATGGGAAGATGGATTGTGATGAGTTCTGTATGACTGCTTCTATAATGGTGAGATAAAATTACCTTATATGGTAGTATTACCATAGCAACATTATCTTAAAATGAGATAAGCGTGTTCCAACCTACAGTAGTAACAAAGGTTTCAGGTCTCCGAAATAAAATAATAACTGTTTAATAGCGATCATATGAGTCCTTGCAATTAGGTTGAAATTGGGGGAGGCCGACAAAGGGGGGCCCCCGATTATTAGGGGTCAGATCATATGATATTATCATATCTCATTTGTACACGTTGATTTGGTTTGATTTTAATGCGCGTTGATTCGAAAAAGCCACGTCAGCCACAATATTATCAACAATCGCCCTGGCGGCCATGCTGGCCAGCCAGGGCACAGTCCCGATTGCTCCTGATCCACCCCTTGGTCTAACTTATGGTCTAACTTATGGTCCTGACACAGTCCCGACTGCTACCGCTCCTGCACTTAGTCTAACGTACGATCCTGGCAGCAACATCTCAGATGGAGGAATAGATTGGAACTGCAACACAAAACAGAACATAAACTCAACAAACATCGAACAGACACCGAATTACCACTCTAGAAATGGTTTGGAAACTTTAAATGATAATTGCTGTAATGGCCACTATCAGTCGTACAACTACATAGAGATAAGAAGAACTATTTGTAAAAGTACATTACACGCAATAGAACATATTAAAATAGTAATTGTACATTGCACAAGACTTTTCGAGCTAATATTCCTGGAGTTATTGCAGTCCTGCGTTAAAACATTGATGAACATTGTAGGAACTTGCATGTATTACTTTGAGGTATGGGGCAGACAAGGACATGAATTTATAGTGTGGTTTTGGAATGTGAGTTACAGTTTCGAGCGTTTAAACAGCAATTTAATTTATAACATATGCAGTAGATATATCTCTAACGTTATGAATGAACTTAATGACGGTTTTATGACGAGTATGTTACGGTCCTCTTGCTCAGCCATGTCACTGCTGCACGCCTCTTCTAGGTTTCGTTCCGCGCCCGCTGGTCTTTCCCAGCCAGAGCCCACTAGTAGAGCTCCGCCTCCTCGCGCCTTGTCTCCGCATGCGTCGCGAACCGCGTCTCAACTGAGTGTACTTGTCCTTCAGCATAGCAACTCCCCCACATACACTCCTCACAATCCCACTCACAGTGCACAGTGTAACAGATTGGGTAGTGACAGGTCTCTGCGAGTTGGGGACTGGTTTCAGATAGCTGTAGTTGTCCTTTTGAGCCTCTGCTTCCTTGTTGCGACACTCATAGCCGCTATTTTGCTACTTTTACTTAGGGAACTCAGAAGCAGACCACTGGCCCCTACCGTTCCTGTTTACGTCAGTGAAGAAGTAGAAAACCAATGTCTTAGTTCTAGTAAAACCTCGTGTAAACAGATCTCTCAACCCGGTTGTTTTTCCAATTCAATTTTTGATTTTTCTGTTTTGAAACTTGGTAGTTTGTTTCCACCACCTTGGCTGACTAATGCAACAGTGATGATGGCGAACGGCTCTGGGAAAACAGACGAGGTTAAAGAATCAAGTGAGACAGAGGATAACGACACTGATATTACCGAAGTAAGTGCCACTGAAGGTCTCCTGAAGCCGACCAACAGTAGATAAGGAGCTCATAAGGAGTCAAGTCTCAACTACAGGATCTTTATCTGAAAAGCGGACAAGACTTCAGAACAAAATGTGTATGTCAATCGGGGAACTCTCCATGTCAGCAGCCAATAACTCGATGTCTCACGGCATGAACTTCTCACGATGTGAATCCCCGAGGATCGAAGACGTGGAAATGAAAGATGACATTGCATCAGTGCGTAATGCTCAAAAATGTGTGGAGAACTCTCTAAAGCATGTTGTGGATTCCATCGTTTCTGTCAAAGCGAATGTAGCAACTCTCCAGGAAGCGACCAAACAACAAACTCCAAAAGACATCTCGCCTCACCCAACCAGCAACACCGACGTTTTGGATGCGATTAGTGATTTGAAAAGTGCAGTGAGTGATTGCAACAACAGAATCGAAAATCTGAGCAAGACAAATGTGTTCACACAAACGATAAAGGAGTGCAATGGTAAGATTGATGACCTTGTGGAGAACATAAACGGCACGAAAGATGACCTTCAGTCAACGAGGAAGATTCTGAACGACCTTAGTCAAAATGGAGTAGACATCATGAAGAAATCGGTGGAAGACATGGGGAGCTACTACAATAGTGTCTTCTGCGATGAAACAAGGGAACAAATTAAAGATATCCACGCGTTTGTAACACACCAAATGTGCGAGGTTGCAATTCAAACTGACCCTTTGATAAAAGAAATAGCAACGTTAGGAGAACAACCGAACCTAGCCTCGCCTTCTCCTAAATTTGGTTTCCCCGATCCAATAAAGCCCTCCCTCAAAGTCATGGTCGAAAGTGGTCAACCCATCAACGTTTGGCTCGTTACCGATTCAATTATGAGACACATCGATGAGTCATGCTTGGAATTTAGGAAATATAGGTTGAATTTCAAAAGAATTGACTTTACATGTAGTGAATCACTGACCGGAGAATACATGATGGGGAGTCAAATAGCAACAGAGAAGCCTCAACTAATATATGTACATCTCGGCATCAATGATATACACAAAGGAGAGGACATCACCAAAATCGTCGACAACTTCAAGATCTTTAATGAAATGTTAGAACTAGTATCTCCCACCACCAGACTGGTCATCTCTTGCCCCCTACTAAACGGAAACACCTATCAGAACCGACACGTCTTTTCCTTGAGGAGATCCCTGTCCTTATTGGTCAATCAGCAGCAAGACGAGGACCCTAAAACAAAAAGGATTTTCCTTCAGAGAAATGATAAGTTCTTCATTAACACGCAGTCCACTCCCAAGCAGAACTCGATGTACTTCCGCGATAATCTCCATCTGTCAGACAGAGGAATGCATGCAATCACCAACACCATGAGAGACACCCTCGACAAGATCTTCAGAGAGTTTGAGCTTCCATTCTAAATTTTAGTCTTCAAACCACCAACCCAACCTCTTGAAAAATACTATGAATTTACAATCCAAAATTATAAGCTGGAACATCCAATCAACAAATACAAATTTTGGCTCTAAGTTTGATGACCCTCAATTTTGTGCCGTCTTTGACAAGTTTCCTTTTGTCTGCCTTCAAGAAATAAGACAACCGGTCAAACACTCGGGCTTCAGGTCCTTCAATAAAACCCGCCGGGACAAAAAACATGGTGGCGTATGCATCATGGTCCAAAACGAAATAGCCAAAGGCGTAAAACTTGAAAAATCCACAATTGAAGATGTTGTTGCCTGTAAACTTGAAAAAATTACTTTGGCGTAGATAATGATATATTTATTGTTAACTCATACATTAAGCCAGCTAACACTTCCTCTAAAAACTCAGATATTTCGGGCTTTGACACCATCCGTGAACTGGACCGATTTCTTAATGTTCTTCTAAGTAAAGGCGATGTTATTACCTGTGGTGACTTCAACTCGCGTATCGGCCATGACATTGACTTCATCAAAGGAGAGAAATGTGGCTACGAGAGCTTCATTCCCCTGCCAGAAGACTACACCCCCCAAGAACTCCCAACCAGGAACTCAAAGGACAAAAAGTCGAACAATTACAAAAGACCCTTTCTAGAAATGCTTGTCAATAATGAACTCCATATTCTCAATGGGAGAACTTTAGGAGACTCATATGGTGACTTCACTTGTATCCAGACCAGCGGTGCCAGCGTTGTTGACTACTTTATTATATCACCAAACTGCAGTAAGTATGTATGTCATATGACAATCCAGCCGTTCACTTGCTTTTCTGATCATAAACCACTACTCCTGGCACTCAACTTCTCTCCTTCCAACATTCTTGTAAACACAAAGGCACTCCATGAAACTTACGCTCGAGCCCCACTTCGTTACAAAATAAATCCTGATAGCCTTTCAAGCTTACGGGATACAATGATGGACCCACTTGTGGAAGAATGTTCCAAAACCCTCTTAGAAACAAATTATCCCGAAGATCTCCTAGGTACATACAAATTGAACGAAGATATCACAGTTCACTTGAACAAAATAGCAGACAAATGTCTCCAAAAGACCAAACATCCCAAAATAACCAAAAAGGGATCCATAAATAAACAACCCTGGTTCACACAAGCCACTAGAGAAGCTAAAATATCCTGTGCTCGTGCAGCTCAAATTGTTTCTGATTTCCCCAATAGCGATTATCTTCGAAAAAATTTTTACCAAGTAAAAAATACGTACAAAAGTTTAATTGACCGTACCAAAAACAAATATCTTGACAAACTGAATACAGATATCGAATCTGGTAAAATTCTAAACTGGAAACAATTCAAAAAACTGAAAAAATTTAAAGGAAGAGTTGACAAATTTGATTGCCATGACATGGACAACTTTCAAAAATTCTTTGGTAAACTTTATGCCAATGCACATAGCACCATAACTGTAGAGAATAAGGAAGAAATGCTTCAAAATGCAGAGGCTATTAACAATAATTGCCAACCATCCCCTGCACAATCAATACTCAATGGCCAGATCTCTGTGGACGAAATATCTACTGCGCTCTCTTCACTCAAAAACGGCAAAAGTTCCTCGGAGGATATGATATGCAATGAAATACTGAAGACCTTGTCCACAACAAATACACAACTCCTTTGCAAAGTATTTAACCGCTGTTTGGACACTGGAACTTACCCGTGGAACAACAGCATTATAACACCCCTACACAAAAAAGGCGACAAAGATAATCCCGACAATTACAGAGCAATTGCTGTGAGTAGTACAATCGGGAAACTATTCTCGACCATTATGCTAAACAGGATAATCAAGTTCAAAAATGAATACAACCCGGACCCCATAAATCAACTTGGCTTCGCTAAAGGAGCTCAAACATATGACCACATACTCACACTCAACACCATTACGTCTAAATACAAAAAGCTCAAGGTTCCCGTCTATGCTGTTTTCGTGGACTTCCGGAAAGCTTTCGACTCTGTTTGTCGTGAAGCTCTTTTCTTAAAGTTAGCTAAACTAGGTATCACTGGCAAAACATTTAATGTTCTTAAACATATGTATAAAAATTCCACTGGCCAGATAAAGCTATCTGGATTTGTCAGCGAAAAATTTGATATCAATAAAGGAACTGAACAGGGTCATCCACTTTCCCCTGATCTTTTTAAAATATACATTAGAGATCTTTCCCCTCGACTAGAATTTGATAACTGTCCAAAACTAATGAACCAACTTATCAGTCACTTACTATGGGCAGATGATCTGATACTCTTGGCACTGGACCCCAAAACCCTCCAAAAGCAACTCGATGCTTTGAACAATTTCTGCTTGGAATGGGGCGTCGAAATTAATGCAGATAAAACTAAACTCATGAAATTTAATTCCCGCTTCGATAATTATCAGCCGGTTCCCCTCAAAATAGGTAATCACTTGTTAGAAGAAGTCGAGTCATACTGTTATCTAGGAATCGAAATACACAAATCCGGCACATTCACAAATGCCCGAACTGAGCTCAAAAAGAAAGCCATGCGTGCACTTTATGGCATGAAAAGCTCAGTAAACAAATCCAAATTATCATTCCGTTCTCTAACAACACTCTTTGACGCTCTTATTAAACCTATCGTTCTTTACGGAGCGCCTATTTACACACCTAATATGGCTATCATAAAACACATAACAAAACAAGTCGATCTCAATATGGATCCCGACACAAAAAAGAAATTTCAAACTAGTATCCTCAAGAAAATTAGTCTTCTGAACAGCGAAAAAGTTCACCTTCACTTTCTTAAATGGTCACTGGGTGTAAATCGTAAAACCAGTAACGCAGGCGTCTGGGGTGAGTCAGGCCGCTACCCATTAATCTATGAATGTATTAACCTCACTCTCAAATATACCCAACGCTTGAAAAATCTCAAAGATAACTCCCTTGTATCCTTAGCTTTCAAAGAACAGATGAACATGAAATTGGACTGGTACAGAGGTTTGGAGCCTGTCCTCGCGCTAGACCCATGTTTCTCTACCGATCATGTCACAGCCTACCGCACACTCAAAAACAATCACTCCAAGTCAATTTTCGAAAGTAACCCGAGTATCGCAAAACCACCAAAAGAGGACTTTCTTATTCACAACGGTTTCAAGAAACGAATTCCTCCGCAATCAACACAACCCATCGGGAGTAAAATATTCACACCACACGTCATTACTAAAACTTTGAAAAGTAGCTTTAGAGAATATTGGGGGTCCTGTATCAACACTTCTCGGAAATTAGAATTCTATTGTGACCTAAAATCCAAATTTAACAAAGAGTATTACCTAGACAGTGTCATTAAATATGCAGACCGTGCTAATATCACAAGACTGCGGATCAGTGCACATCGACTCGAAATTGAACTTGGCCGATATAATCAAACTCCTCGCGATGAGCGAATATGCTCCTGGTGCAATATAGTCTTAGGTTCTGGTATTATTGAGAATGAAGATCACTTCCTTAACCATTGTGATCTTAACGCTGCATCGAGGCGAAAAGTCCTAGACAAGATCCAATCAATCATATCAAATTCAATCAAACCATCTGCGTCATCTTGTTCTGTTTACACTGTCATCCCTGGAGCAAACGTGCTCAAATTCATCAGCAACAACAGTGAAATCATTGAATTAATCACGAATGAAAGTCAAGTCCACCTCACGAGAGTCGTTGCTAGATTTGCCACTACGTGTTTTAACAACCGCAAGAAATTCGTCGACTCTCTGGCCAGTACATGAACACTGAAAATCACTGTACCAGCGCTTTTGTTTCTTTTCGCGCAACAACGAGTGCAAAGTGGCCTGGCTCAAGCATTACAGCATTACCAAGGCGATTGTAAACAAAATATTTTTTGTCAAAATCTTTATGTTTCACTTTAGTTTAAGTTATATTAATATAATAAATTCAAATCTTATGATATTGTTATTATCTTAACAGTTACTATTGTAGCTTAAGATTTTAAATTTGTATTCCTTGTATTCCTTGTATTCCTTGTATTCCTTGTATTCCTATGACATATAATTAGTGATGTGACGTATAATTAGTGATGTGATCCATCAGTAGAATTTAATTGACCCAGAAATGAGCTAGATATTATAGGGTAGAGTTCATATGTCAATTTTGTAAATCATAGCTGTACATTAAGAGGTAAACATGATCTGACTGCTCGACTCGTAGATCACATAAGGGACAGGAGCTCTTGCTAAAGGTGGTTCTCGTATCAAGGGATGTGAGACGTACGTGCCAAACGCATGCAAGGGGAGTGAGCCGATCAAGTGTTCTTAGGTATATATACTGGAAGATGAAAGACAATAGTATCGCATTCTTACATTCGATCAACATGCCAGCCTTCTGGCTTTCAGTATTCAGTATTCAGTATTCAGTATTCAATATTCAGTATTAAGTATTCAGTATTCAGTATTCAGTATTCAGTATTCAGTATTCAGTATTCAGTATTCAGTATTCAGTATTCAGTATTCAGTATTCAGTATTCAGTATTCAGTATTCAGTATTCAGTATTCAGTATTCAGTATTCAGTATTCAGTATTCAGTATTCAGTATTCAGTATTCAGTATTCAGTATTCAGTATTCAGTATTCAGTGTTCAGTGTTCAGTGTTCAGTGTTCAGTGTTCAGTGTTCAGTGTTCAGTGTTCAGTGTTCAGTGTTCAGTGTTCAGTGTTCAGTGTTCAGTATTCAGTATTCAGTATTCAGTATTCAGTAAATTTGATTAATTATCCTACGAAAAAATGTCTTTTGACTTGTTAATTTAAATCAAAAGTACGGAGTTAAACTGGGCTAAATATAGGGAAGAGTTCACATGTTCTGTAAATCATATCTGGTGGATCACATCACTTGTATTGAAGACCATCACATCGACAAAACCAGTGTGATGGTCTTCAATACAAGCTCACGAACACTTAAATGTTCTTATGGCTTTAAACTAGGAAGCCTGGACATTATACCGGTAAAAAGATACTGCTATCTCGGAATCCAATTCTCTCTGAATGGATCGTTTAAGCAAGCTATCGACGAACTTAGGAAGAAAGCTCTACGCTCATTCTTCTCAATGAGGCGAATTATCAACACGAAAGCGCTCACTACCAGCACAATGCTCAAACTCATCGATAGTCTAGTAAAGCCTGTAGCGACCTATGCATGTCCCGTCTGGCTCTCATCAACAAACATCGTAAAGGCTATCCTGTCGAAAAAAGAAGAAGTGAGCCTGCCTAAATCTGCAGCTAAAGATCCGCTCGAAACAACTCATCCGAAGATTCTCAAATGGATACTAGGCGTTCACAAGAAAGCTAATAACAACTTCTGCTATGGTTACACTGGTAGAACCCCCTGGACAGTTACCGTCATTCCCCAATGTTTAGCTTACTTCCATCGGGCATCCCTGGCGGTAGAAGGTAACGTGAACACTTTTTTGCACCACACCTTTCAAGAGCAAAAGCTACTGAATCTAACCTGGTATGATGCGTGGTCAACTATTGCCAAGATGAGTACAGTCTCCAAGCCGCAGTTATCACCCACCCTAGACGCTTGTGAGTACATACATGAGACATTTGTTGACCATTGGAAGAGAGATCTCCTCAACCAGCCCAAAATGTCTTTCTACACAGCGGTTAAACTCGAGTTTGGCGAAGAACCCTATTTACAGCTCCCCTGCCGGCTTAAAAGGGTCAATATTGCTAAACTCCGATCTAGCAGTCACGATCTTAGGATAGAAAAAGGTCGCTACACCAAAGATCAACTCAACACAGCTCTTAAAACGTGTCGCTTCTGCTGCTCCTCAGAAACGGATGTCATACGTTTTTTAGAGGAGCTCCCCTTCTTTGAAACTCCTATTCTAGAAACCGAAGACCACGTCCTAACTGAGTGCCCCTACTACCATCAACTCAGGTCCAACCTCTCTGACAACCTCAAAAGCCTGTTGATGCTAAAAGAATATGGAGCAATAATGAACTCACCCCATATAAAAGAGTTCGGGAAGTACCTTACAGACTCCTCAAATCTACGTAATCCTCCTAAAACGTCCCTTAACCCTCGCAAACAGATGTAGTACTCGAACTTTATTTACTGTATTACCTTAAATTATTATAGACGATCTTCTTTTATTTTCGTGAAATTGTAAACGGTTAAATTTTACTATTTTTAAATGATTCAGTTTTGATAATTTTATTTATTCATTTATTCATTCTTGTATAGCCAAGACGAGTCCGTTAGTGTTCTCTCTGGTAATTTCATGTTTAATCCTGTTTAATCCTGTTTAATCCATCACTAATTATACGTCATATCACTAATTATACGTCATATGATCTGACCCCTAATAATCGGGGGCCCCCCTTTGTCGTGCAGCCGAAATTGGGACCCGTGTTAAAATAATATTTATCTATTTCTCAAAACATAATATCGTTCATGAAAAAGCTCCCAGCAGAGCATGATTTCCTTATATGGTATTATTGCCATAGCAACACTACCATATAAGGTCACCATAGCAACACTACCATATAAGGTTACTTCCACAGAACTTGGTAAGTATGGATAACCTGAAGCAGTTGAGGGAGGTGTTCATCTCCTTTGATTTGGACGGAAACGGTACAATCAACTGTCGGGAGCTGAGTCGGTGCATGGAGAAACTGGGTATGTTAAATTTATTAAATACATTTCAAATTATATTGTTAAATTTATTAAATACTTTTCAAACTATATTCTTAAATTTACTTAATACTTTTCAAATTATGTTGTTAAATTTACTAAATACTTTTCAAATTACATTCTTCAATTTACTAATACTTTTTAAAATTTCATTGTTTAATTTACTAATACTTTTCAAATTAAATTTGTAAATTAAAATATCCACAACAAGGTATTGATTGAATCAATTCACCCTGTTAAGTGATGCCCAAATAAGGATTGTATCAAGAATTTATCTGATCGTACATATCCATCTATAATAATATGATAATACGTATTTAATAGTATTAAGTATTAAATACGTAAGCAGCATTTAAGATTAAATTGAGGTATGTTTCGTCTGAGCGATTTCATACTTTTGCACCGTTTTAACTGCGACATTGAAATGCGTATTTTCGAATAAGCGGGATTTTACTTTTGCATTTCAACTGCGATAGTGAAGTACCGACCGTAGGCCTGGGTTAACACTAGTAACAATATAATTTGTGCAGGACAGCCTCTTTCAAAAGCAGAATGTAAAGAGCTGATAGCTTCTGCAGACAAGGACGAGGATAACTGTATGAGCTTCTACGAGTTCGTCATCATGGTCAAATCAGAGAAGAAGGACCTGGGGGAAGATGATCAGTCCCTGAGAGAAGCATTCAACCTCTTCGATAAGAATGGTAGGAAATTGTTTGTGAAATTTTGTGATCGTAAGAACAGTAAATGAAAGCAGTATTTTTTCTGAGATCCTGTAACAAAAGTTGTTTCACTCTAGTCCGTATTTGCAGTTAACACAAAGTCAGGTTTAGATAATCAAGTACTGAGTTGTTTTGTAGATAAGGGGTCGTTCACATATTACGTAAACACTTTTTGGACAGTTTTTACCCCCCCCCCCCCTCCGTATTCATGGTTTTACACATAGCTATTGTAGCAAAATGACATTAGCGTAATCATTTCGAAACCCCCTCCCCCTCGGCTGATTACGTAATGATATATGAACAACCCCTAAGATTCTGATCTCACACACTACACACAGGTGACGGTAGTATAGATAAGGAGGAGTTGAGGAAGGTGCTCGAAACTATGGAGGGCCAGAATCCAACTGAGGATGAGCTTGATGAGATGTTCAGGTTTTTACAAAACTTACTTTCTGCTTGCTTCTTCTTTTTCCGAAACCTAACCCTTCAAAACTTACTTCCTGCATGTATCTGCTTTCTTTTTCCAAAACCTAACTCTTCAAATCGTGCTTCCTCACTTCTTCCATCGACCATCATTCACACAAAAATATGCAGAATGCATACTAAAAAAGTAAGAAGTCACTTGTAGTCACGTAATTTGCAAATTTATTTTCAGAGAAGCGGATTTGAACAATAACGGTCGGATCTCATTCGAAGAGTTTCAGTCAATTGTAAATTGATTATTTTGTGAAACTAGGAGATCCAAAAAACAGAGTTTATATTTAGGGATTTTAACACAAACAATGTATCAATGAAGTTGGTGATTTCATATGGTTTAGATATTGGAATTTTTAAGCTGTAGCGTAAAGATCTGAGTAATTTGTATAATGTATATTCGATATATTTTATGTTATTACTCAAACATATATCAATTAATTATATAATTTTGAACGTGTTGTTTTTGATTTATTGAGCTGGCTGACCGAATTTAATGTTTGTAAATTGTGTATGAAAGCTGCAACATTATGTATCGAATAATAAAGTTTGATTTATTTTTCGCTTAAACTCTTAAAGAAAATGTAGGGCTCTGACAGGAATGAGGAAAGTATTAGAAGACATCGCTAATGGTCTATCACTCGACTAACTGATGGTTACGCAAGATGCCTACTATAATACCTACTATATTATACATGTTTAGGTTTTATAAAAGCATCATATTTAAGCTTTTAGTACTTACTGCATGAAATTAAAAACCACGTTTCAATTTCCTTCCTTAACGGGTGATACTCGTAAAATATTTGTTTCAAATATTACCGTCGACGAGTCCAACTCGGCGCGCGTCTTGGTAGGTTATAAACCTACAATTTCCTTCCCCATCTCAATCCTGAGCTCTTAATCACCTGTCATTATAATGTCGTAGGTTGGTACTGGTGAGTGGTGGGTATAATTTGTAGACAACAGGAACAGATCATCGGCAAAATGTTTAATTTGGAGACAGTCCTATATTGGCGAGTGTAGAATGTAACAGACCCCACCCTACCCCAACCTTATACCCAACCCTACCCCACCCTAACCCACCCTACCCTACCTCACCCTACCCCACCATACAAAGGGATATTACAAACATTTACTATATCAATTTTATCATATTATAATTCGAAAATATCAATAAATTATGGTTGATCCTTTGCACTAACTCACTAAGCAAATGTAACAAATAAAAATAATCTACACCATACATTAAAGAATCAATAATCTATATTATATTAATCAACTATGTCATCTCCTCACTCCACTCCTTATGAGGAACTGTGTCCCCAAATAATGCATGTATAGTCGAGCGTAAAATACTTGACTATAATAATTATTCTATTTTTGAACGTCACTTATGATATATTGTTATCGTTGAAAAAATAGAATAACCACATATATAACAGGCGACAACATTTCTCTTTTGTAGTTTAACCCGGTTACTAATAAATAAATTGTTCTTTTAAGATTATCCATTTAATACAGAAGAAATCAGTTTTACAATCCGGAAACTAATTACGATAGCCAAATGCGTTTGCTAATGAAAGTCTTAATTCAGTCGATTTTGCAACGAATTATTCGCCGAGCCATTTTCAGTAAATCACTATTGATTGTACTTGTAGCAGTGAACACGCATATTACTAATATACACATATTATTACTCACAGTCATAACACATCGCTCAGTTTATAAATAGTACACCAGCACACATACCATAAACACTAATATTCATTATCTAATACTATATATTCATTATTTATAGTCACATAAATTACCCATCACCCGCAAATCACCAGGGTACACGTCATAACACACGTTATAGACTGCTATAACTGCAGTGATTGGCTTGCTCTTCATCGTGAGTCCTAGTGTTGTTCTCTACCTGTTTGTTTGTTTGTTTATAGAATCCGTCCCAATCTCGTATCGGAGAAAGACTAAACTCATTTCTGAGTGTGAATACGGGTGGTACCTACAAGTGTGTTCATTAAGCATTTAGGGTTCTGTCAAACTGCAGTTACAATCGAGCTAGAGTTATCTATTTAGTTGTTCTTTATCTAGTATGTAGCCGAACTAGCGAGGGCTGATGGGGTATAAAGGCTAACTTGAGAGGTGTTCGGCGTGTTTTTTAGAGTGTCTGCTGTAATTTTATTGTTGAGGTGACTGACAGTTTTTAGTGTAATTTTAGTTTCCTATTTTAAATAAACCTGTAAAATTTTAAACGCTTTACAAGAAGTGTTTCTTGAGGTAGCGTTTAACGAATAAGTCGCTGCAGACAGCCGCGGCTTACGACCCATTCGTCCAGGGTCAAATCACCATGAACCAAACTAACCAATCAGAGAACAGTTCGGCTTATAGGTTATGAGCCTCGGACCATCATTCGCACAGAAACTTCGTCTTTATTGCAGCAGGTTTTGTCATTTCACGGCTACTTAACCGGGATAGTAATTCAAAAAAGAAAGAAAAAAAGTGTTTATAAAAAGTGTTTATTCCGTTTGCCAGAGACTAAGATCTGGAACAGGACACTAGGAGACTGGTTGACTGTGTGAGGTGGGATAATTTTACATTATTTCCTTATTTCATAATTTATGATTGGTTTTGGCTTCTGATCATGCAAATCACATCTTACCTTCTGTTATCTAGGCGGATATCAGTTCTTATCTACATGAAATAGTAGACCCAGTTTCTTGACATCTTCTTACTTATTTTACACTCTTATTTCTAACTACCAAGTAACAGTAACATGATCTTACAAGGCCAACGATGGTTATGTAGCGTTTTCCAAGCAACACTGTTTAGGTAACCGCTTGGTAACTGTATTGGTAACCACTTGGTAACTGTATTGGTAACCGCTAGGTAACAGTATTGGTAACCGCTTGGTAATTGTTTTTGGTAACTGTATTGGTAACCGCTTGGTAACTGTTTTTGGTAACCGCTTGGTAATTGTTTTTGGTAACTGATTGATCTATACTGAAAAGGCGTAGTCTACAGCTACTCTTTTACAACCAGCTAAAGATATGATCAAATAAAAAAGAAAGCCGGGCTCATTTCCTTATTGTTCAGATCCCCAGGATCTTTCTCCAGGATCTCTGCAAGGTTTAGTAACATCCTGCTCATCATGTGGCCTTATATGGACATCACGTGACCTACCTGCTCCTCACTGATTGGTTCTCCCTTCATATCACCAAATAGGCCTCCTCAGATCTAGAATAGATGTTAGGTCACCTATCATTACACGTTGGTTGCGGAACTTAGCAATGTAAGAGCAGCCTTAGCTTGCTGTGTAATTTACTGGCACTAATAAAATTAATGCCAATTATTTTGACATTTTATCTTTAATTCTGGTCAATAATTCGCTAGGTCACTACAACTTATCCTCACGATCACTGGTTCACGTCAAAGGAATTATGAACATAAAAATAAGAAACCACCTCGCCGATAGTTGACAATGATAATTGATTCGTATGTTTACCTAGTAACCTATATATATATATATAACGTATATAATATGCAATGTTATTTATTTATTTATTCATGCGTTTTTGTGCGGCATGCCCCGGCTAGCTGCAAGATTTCCTATGTACCATTGTTATGGTTACACTGCTAGACTGTCTGTCTTCACACCACGTGACACGCATTTTCTGCGTCATTGCAGTTAAATAACATTTAGTTAAATAATAGTGTTAATCAGCAACCATAATTTATATTTTTGAGGTTCTTTGTCTTTGGGTAACACGACATCTGTCCGACAGCACTATTTTATTGTGTTTGAAGTGATATCTCTTTGTATTTGTTCTGAACACGCTAACTTTTTGACGGACCTGTTAGCGATACAGCGCCTCAGAGGGCGGGTAAACCCAGCATTTGAAAGTAGCAATATCGACTATAGGTATCAACGCTCTAAAAAAGTAGTAACCCTTGATTTTCCATAATTATTACTCATAATTATCTCTGCTTGAAGGGACGAGGTACATTATGCAGGGTAGGACTCAAGGTACAATACTGTCCGTTAGTCAGCAATGTCACGTGACAGTGAAATAGTGACATGTACTAGCCGGATAATACATATAATGAGACACGCTAACCCGTCCTCTGTAAACAGCAGAACCGTACCGTTTATCATAGTAAAAGTGGGAGGACGGGTTTGGCACACACGTGATCTTGTCTTGGGGTCACGTGTTGCCCATATAAGGTCACGTGGTATGCTACTTGCTTGGAGGTCAGGCGCCCCCTTTGTGAGGTTTAATTCGAGTTTAATGACGGAGAACATCTGCTGTTGTTATCATTGTTGTGTACACGCCCCTTGTGGGTATAGATCAGTAAATGCAGATTACTACGTTGGATTATTCTTGAATTGTGAGAGTTCGGATTTGTTTGAGAAATGGTTTTTAAGAATTTTTTGAGTAACTATTTTCCTTCATTAGGATCTCCTTCGGCAACATGTTATGGAGATTATGTGAGTTTTTTCGGTTCTGTTTTGTTTATGATATTTTTTGAGATTTGCTAAATTTTAAGACGCTGATTTTTGTATACTGTATAATGTATACCATACTGTATAATGTATACTTTATCATGTACACTATAATGAATAATATATACCGTAGAGCTAATTAGACGAAATTCCATTTAATGTTCATACTTGGTTCATTCCACATTTCACCGTGTCCTTTGTAAATTCGGTGTTACAATGTGAAATACTGTAATCGGTGGACGGACAGACACATAGACAGACAGACATATGAATGGTCAAGAAAGTGACTGACAGACATGAAAATGACTGACAAACGGACTGACACAGAACATTTCAGGTAATCACCTACAATTTTTCTTTTCCTTTGGTTCAGTCTAAGTCGATTTAACTGCTACAGTTGGAATACCAAATATCTAGGAGGCTGTACAATCTTATCTAGAAAATGGTGTATCTAAGTACCTACAAACTTAGTCACCACGGTTACCATGGTTTCCTTGGTTACCATGGTTACAATGATATACTTTAGGATGTCATCTGAATTTGATCCCTGAGCACACCATTGTGAGCAGTCATCCGTAAAGAATTTGCAGTTTTGTTCCGTATCATGTCTTAGTGTTGCTAGGTTAATTGGGACGTTGGTTATTGTCTAAAATACAAATTGGGACGTTGGTTATTGTCTAAAATACAAATTGGGACGTTATTGTATAAAATACAAATTGGGACGTTATTGTCTAAGATCGGTCAGTAATCGGTAGAGTTATCGGACAATGACTGAACCAATGTGTTACGTAGAAGCCTGGGTCATCAGTCACTCCTTCCCCCTCAAGGTAGCGCTAGACTGTATTGTTATTCATTTAGTCAGTGGTGAGTTCCCCATCAAGGTGGCTCTTAGACTGTAATGTTATTGATTTAGTCAGTGGTGGGTATTAGTTCCTTCATGTTTTTTTTGCAGTGGGACAATTGTTTGGAATGACAAACTGTTAATTTAACCGACTGTTGTAGTAGAGGTCAATTAATCAAATTAACAATACGTT